AAATAGGAGAGTTGAAAGGGACTGTGAAGCAGGGAGCAGTATTAACATTCTGGCCAATGAAATTCTCAATGACTATTATGGGTTGAATTGTGTCCCCCAAAAATATGTGTCAACCTAGTTAGGCCATGATTCCCAGCACTGCGTGGTTGTCCTCCATGTTATGATTGCTGTAATTTTCCTACGTGTTGTAAATCCTAATCTCTGTCTGTGGTTAATGAGGCAAAATTAGGGTATGTTGAAGAGGATTAGGGTGGGATGTAACACCCTTACTCAGGTCACACCTCTAATCCAATGTAATGGGAGTTTCCCTGGGGTGTGACCTCCACCACCTTTTATCTTACAAGAGTGAAGCCAGCAGAGAGAAATAGGAAGCTCATACCACCAAGAAACAAGAGCCAGGAGAATAGCGCATCCTTTGGTCCCAGGGTTCCTGTGCGGAGAAGCTCCTTGACCAGGGGAAGATTGATGACAAGGACCTTCCCTGAGAGCCAACGGAGACAGACAGCCTGCCCCTGGAGCTGACACCCTCAATTCGGACTTGTAGCCTACTAGACTGTGAGAAAATAAATTTCTCTTTGGTAAAGCCATCCACTTGTGGTATTTCTGTTAGGGGAGCACCAGATAACTAAGACAATGAACAAGGCTCTGCTCCCCTCATCTTCGCTGTATAGCTACTCGTAAGCTTGACCACAATTTTAAGTTTCCATTTCCTTTTTTTTTTTTTCTTTTAGGCACAGAAAGGTGGACTCTAAGGGAACTTGTCATCTTCTATAAAATGAACTGCCAAGCTTGGTTTTATAAAAAGACTGTTTTGGTGGGGGGAAGAGATGGATGCTCTGAGAAAATAACTTTCTGCCAGACAGAAGGTATTGGCTGAGGTTTTATATCTGATCCTGTCAGTCTCCCAGTAATTTTGTGTATCAGCTCTCTGTACTTAATACAAATGTTATTCATAACTACAGAGACACACTGTCTGGGCCAAGTCATACTGATTTATGCAACTTTTCAGGACAGCATGACCCAACGGGTGATGCAGAGCCCTGAAATTTAACTAAAGGGACACCATCAAGGCTCAAGACTCCAAAATGTGACCTGTTTTTCCTAACCTATTTCTGGGACAGGACAGTGGTTGTGCACAGAAGAAAAAACACACCTGAAAGCTCTTCATTATGAAGAGGCTGTGGGGCGATGTGGAAGAGGAAGCACTGGGCCAGCGTTAAAGGAGCCTCATATGGTTCCTCCCTCTGCTACCCACAAGTCTTTGGACAAATCTCTGTCCTTTTTGGGTCTTGGTGCTTCACCTCTACAGCAATGGGCTCATATAACTTTCAGACATTTCCACCAAAGCACCTCTACCTGCTGAGGAGGGTAAAATGGAGAGGTATGGGGACACAGCCTTAACGGAAGACTTGTATTTTAACGGAAGACTTGTATTTTGCCTCTGACCAAAACCAAAACCAAACCTGTTGCCATCGAGTCAATTCTGATTCACAGCGATCCTACAGGACAGAGTAGAGCTGCCCCATATGGTTTCCAAGGAGTGCCTGGTGGGTTCAAACTGCCGACCTTTTTGATTAGCAGCCACTACACCACTCTTAACCACCACACCACCAGGGTTTCCTTTCCTCTGAAATGCCATGCCAATTCTGCATTCTATTCTATTATACATCAATGTTCATATTAAGATTTTTTTTAATGGCACTTCTGCCCCCCTCCCAAAAAAAAAAAATTCATTCACAGAGATGTGCTGAATTTATTCAGTGGCTCCATGTAACCCTCACTCCCACCTTAGTACATGCCATGGTGGAAGGAAGTCTCTAAGATGGCCCTCCTATGCCTATACTCCCTAGGGTCCATGCCCTTTTGTAAACCATCACTCCCCCCGAGTATGGGCCGAACTTAGTGACTCCCTTCTAGCAAAGAGAATGAGGCAGAGGTGAGGATGGGATGTCACTTCTGAGATTAGATTACAAAAAGACGGTGATTTGCGTCTTGAGGACCTGCTCTCACTTGCTTGCTCTGAGGGAAGCCAGCTGCTGTGTTGTGAGCTGCCCTGTGGAGAGGCCCACATGTCAAAGAACCGAGGGAGCCTTCTAGCCAACAGCGAGCAGGGAACAAAAGCCCTCAGTTCAACAACCTGTGAGGAACTGAATCCTGCTACCAATCATGTGAGTGAGACTGGTGGTGGATCCTCCCCACCTGAGCCTTCAGATGACACCTCAGCCCCAGCAGACATTCTGACAGAAACATTATGAAAGACTCTGAGCTAAATACAACCAACTAACCTGCTTCCAGATTCATGACCCACAGAAACTATGAGATGGTAAATGTTTGTTGTTTTAAGGTGTTTCATTTGTGGTAATTTATTATGCAGCAAAAGGTAACTAACATACCACTCCAGTTTGATATGCCCAAACAAAAAACCAAACCCATTGCCGCTGAGTCGATTCTGACTCACAGTGACCCTGTAGAACAGAGTAGAACTGCTTCATAGGGTTTCCAAGGAGCGGCTGGTGGATTTGAACTGCCGACCTTTCAGTTAGCAGCCATAGCTCACTGCAGCCCTTAACCACTGTGCCACCAGGGCTCCCTGAGATGCCTGGTCCTGGATTGTTTTAATGGTCCCCACCAACTCCACCATTTCTCATCAGGTCTAGAAAGTACATGGCAGTGTCTGCAGTAGCATGTTGGTGGGAATGAGCTACAGACTGAATCACACACAGGTGAGAGACCCCTTACCTGCCCAGCCAAGCCTCTGCTAACAGTTGCACCTTCTTCCAAAACCTGCATGGCACTAGTGGGCCACCCTGCCCACCATCTCGACTTCTATCATAAAGCTCCAAGGCCCACTGAGAAGTTCTGAAATCAGATCTTCTCCTGGAGACCTTCCCCAATGTTCCCAATCCTTTCTGTTCTCCCAGTCCTTCATCTAAGCCCCCTGAGATGTGAGGCTATAACTTGCTTACCTTGATTTCTCAAGCATAGAGTATGAGACCAAAAACATATGTAGTGATGAATAAATTTGTGTTGTAAACACTTTTCTAATGTGTGTGTGTGTCTCTCTCTTGCATATGTGTCTTTCTCCCCAACTAAACTGCAAGCTTCTCAGGGGCAGAGACTCTGCCTAATTACCAGGGTGCCCTAAAAATCCTGAGGTTCACTAACTTCCAGAGGACCACCGAGATGAGGGGAGACTACATGCACACATTCCAGGAGCCAGGGGTAGATATTGGCAACAGTCTACAAAGGACCCATGGCCTCTCCCTCCTT